TCTGGTAATGGATACACATCTATGATTTTTCTTGGACTGGGACCAGCAGTCCTTTTAAAATGTTTCATTCCGTTTTATTTATCTGCAAGGCAGAGAGAGACAAAGGTAAGATAATGATAAATTATCAGACAATGATACAACCCATCTTGTAGTCTCCTCCCCAGGTGCCCCCAATAGCTAGGGCAGGGACAGGACTAACCCAAGGCATAGAAGTTAGTATGGGTCTCCCACATAAGTAGAAGGAACCCAAATACTTGAGCCATCATCTGCTGCCTCCCATCAAGTGCATTTGCAGGAAGTTGATTGAAGAAGCAGAGATGGAACACAAACCTAGCATCTCAGTACAGGATTCAGGTATCACTGTGCTAAATGCCCACCCCTGGGAGCAGAATTCTGAAAGCCTAAAAGCACAGGCTGATACTGACGCTCCTGTGATCTTGAACACTTTAAGTGCTAACATCTGTATGCACCAAGATTATGAAATGACCCAGCTGCCTTTCAGCTGAACCCCCATCAAATCGTCATGCTCTCAGATTCTCCTGCAGGACAACTGTCTCTGTGTTTGTACTCATAAAGTTTCCACCCATACTGCTTCGTGATGTATCCACAGCCAACTAGTCAATAGAGGCGATCCTGGTTTCTCTTTATCCACCAGAATCTGCAAAAGTCACACCAATTTGTGGCAAAATTCACAAGTGATTCCAGTAATGTATGATTTTTGTGCATCATGTAGTGTTCATTTTGCTCCAGAATGTATTTTCTTTAGATTTTTTTAATGAGTGTCATCAATTCATTAGTGGTTAATAAAATACAATATTGGCCATGCTGATATCAGTAAAACAAAGGAATAGGAAGTCAGTCCAAGGTCTTCATTTCACCCACAGAGTCCTGACTTAACAACATCCATGGACCAAATTCTCTGTAAGAGCTCCAGAAGCCAGTTAAGGCTTTACATCAAGCCCAGAGGAGCACAAAGCCAAAAGGAACTACCTCACAGTGGATGGCAGCATTCTTTGTGTTTGTCAGCCAAGGCCCTGCCAGGCCCAGAAACACCATCTCAGGATAAGCAGAAACCCCCCAACTCCTAGCATCTGTCTTGGAAGGGAAAGAGAAAATGTGTTGTCCTCTCAGGGGCTACCTGAGGAAGTGCATTATACCTTGCCTGACTTGGAGTTCTAATGGAAATGGCAGTGGCCTATGGGTACCAGATTAGGAGCCACTGAGAACTATGGAAAACACCTAGTTATCCTCCCAGAGGAACTTCAGTACCAGAAGCAAGACACCAGGCAGAGATGATGATGTGCTCTTGAGAACAACTATAAACTCACACACAGCCCAGAGAGGATGCCTCCCAGCAAAGGTTTGAGAGTCCCCAACAATCTCCGTGAAGGTCTTTCCCCATATGAATCCAGTCCAGAAAACTTGGGGAAGATGTTTTCCCCAATGATCACATCTAACCAGAGAACAAAAGGAATGCATAGAAACTGGGAAATATGACCCAAAGGAACAAATGCTTCACCTGAAATAAGTTACTAAACCCTCTTTAAAGATACAGAGAGGGGCCGGCATCATGGTGCACTAGGTTAATCCTCCGCCTGTGGTGCTGGCATCCCATAACGGCGCCAGTTCTAGTCCCAGTTGCCCCTCTTCTGATCCAGCTCTTGGCTGTGGCTTTGGATAGCAGTAGAAGATGGCCCAAGTGCTTGGGCCCCTATACCTGCATGGGAGACCTGGAAATAAGCACCTGGCTCCTGGCTTCAGATCGGTGCAGCTCCAGCCATTGCAGCCATGTGGGGAATGAACCAACAGAAGGAAGACCAGTCTCTTTCTCTCTCACTGTGTGTAATTCTACTTGTCAAATAAATAAAATCTTTTTAAAAAATAAAAATTGGAGATATTTGATTTTTAAACAACAATTTCAAAATAATCATCTCAAAGACTGTTAGCTAGCTAAGAGATGACACAAAGATATCAACTGTGCAACCAGAAAAAAAAAGGAATAAATGAAAATAAAGGTAACAAACTGTAAAAAAGAAATAAATTTTGGGGATAAAGAATACAATAACTCAGTTGTAATATTCTATAGAGATTCAAAGCAGTTCAAGTACAACAAAGAATCAGTGAACTTTTGGACTTTTCAAATTATTTATTTACTAACAGTTATATCATCATTTTTTAACACTCTATGTCAGAATAGTTTTAAATATACAAAAAATTGTGAGGTAGTAATACATAGAGTCCCCATATACCCCTCATCCAATGTCTCCTATTACATCACATATTGATATCTTTGTTACAGTGAACCACACCCATCTTCCCCAATTATTATAAAGACTATTTATTTATTTATTTGAAAGAGTTAACAGAAAGAGGTAGAAAGAGAGAGAGCAAAAGAGAGAGAGAGAGATCTTCCATTCACTGGTTGGCTTCCCAAATGGCTGCAATGGCTGGAGCTGGGACAGGCCAAAGCCAGGATTCAGGAGCTTCTTTCAGATCTCCCATACAGGCACTGGGGCCCAAGCACTTGGGCCCACCTCCACTGCTTTCCCAGGTGCATTAGGAGGGGGCTGGACTGGAAGTGGAGCAGCCAGGGCTGAAACTGGCACCCATGTGGGATGCTGGTGTTGCAGGCAGCAGCTTTACTCACTGTGCCACAGTGCTGGCCTTTTCCCCTATCTTTTCATCCTGAACACTTTCACTTATTCCATGACTCCCAACCTCCAGTGTTCAGATTCAGATTTTTTTATTTGAAATTATCTAGTCACAGGAGCATAAGAAAAATAATGAAGAAAAGTGAATAAAACTAGAGGGATGTATGGGATACCATAAGGAGATATGCCCTATATTCCGTATGCCTTATGGAAATTACACAATAAGAATACAGAAATGGGGTACAGTAGAGAGCCATTTTTAAGAAACAGTGACTCCTATTTGGAGCTTTCTAAATTTCAAGAAGGAAGTCCATATACACATTATAAAACCTCAGTTAACTCCAATGAAAATTAATCCAAAGGACTACCACTAAGCCAAATGATAATCAAAATATCCATGTTGCAGAAAAAAAAAAGAGAATCCTGAAAGCAGCAAAGGAGAATTGACTTATCACATACAATGAAGCTCCTAAATCACTACAGACTTTTCAGAATATCTCTAGGGTACCTTATAAATGCTCATGCCAAGGGCTTTAGCTGAGGCAAAGTGGGTTAAGCTGCTGCCTGCAGCCCTGGCATCCCATATGGGTGCCAGTTCAAATCCTGGCTGCTCCACTTCTGTTCCAGCTCCCTGCTAATGCACCTGGGAAAGCAAAGGAGGATGACCTAAATGTGTAGGTCCCTGCCACTCATGGGGGAGACCTAGAAGAAGCTCCTGACTCTGGCTTAGGCCTGGCCCAGCCAAGGCCATTGCAGCCATTTGGGGAGTGAGCAAGTGGATAAAAGATCTCCCTCTCTATCTCTTAACTCCCCACCCCCCTGTGTGTGTGTGTAACTCTGCCTTCCAAATAAATTTCACTTCAGTCTTCACAGAAGTTGGAAAAATCAGAATCTCTGGTGGCAGGACCCAGGCCTGTGATTAGGTGAACAACCCTGCTGAAAAAGGAGCAGTGACAGGGGTCCACACTAAAAACTAGCACAAATAAGTTACATAGGATCAAAATGTGATGAAAAGTACAGAAGAATTATGGAAAAGATGTAAACTAGAAAAATGCAGAAAGGGTTGTTCATTCGTCCAGGATTCCTGGATCATCAATAATAAACCACAGAGAGTTCTGCAGAGCTAAAGTAGGATTCAGGCATGCAATGGTTAAGATGTATAAAAAATCTGTAATACTCTCCAAAATGGCAAAAGAAACAATATGCAGACACAAAATTTAGAGAGACGAGAGCCTCATACATCATGTAGTTAGAGGTGAGACTTGTACTTCTAGATGATTAGTTTTGCTTCCTTTTTCAACCTGCAGTCCAAACGCATGGCACAAGGACAGAAATTAGGCTGTGTTGCTGAGGAGCTTCTGTATGGCTCTCTTCAAGTCCCTGTTCCTCAGGCTGTAGATAAAGGGGTTGAGCATGGGGGTGACCAGAGTGTACACCACTGAAGCCCAGGCACCCTCCCCCGGAGAAAGTGAGAAAGTTGAACTGAGATAAACTCCAAGGCCTGTTCCATAAAATAAGCAAATGACTGACACATGAGAGCCACAGGTAGAGAAGGCTTTGTACTTCCCACCTGCTGAGGGGATTCTCAGAATGGAGGACACAATGTTATAGTAAGAGAGGGGGATCCCTGTGATAGGGAGAAAACCATAGATGATGCCAACAAGATATGTGAATATGTCATTGGTGAAGGAGTCGGAGGGAGTGAGGATGAGAAGCTGAGTAGGCTCACAGAAGAAATTAGAAATTTCCACTTTCTTGAAGCAGGAATCCCTTAAGACCATCAAGTTCTGCAGCAGGGAATACAGAAGGCTGGCCCCAAAGGACACCAAAACTAAGAAGCCACAGTGGCCGGGATTCATGATGGCCTGGTAATGCAGGGGGTGACAGATGGCAACAAACCAGTCATAGGGCAGCATTGTCAGAAGCAAACCATCCATGCATCCACAGATAACAGAGAGAGACATCTGCATCAGGCAGGCCACATAGGAGATGGCTGTGCTGTGAGTGTGGATGTCCACAATCGCCTTGGGAACTGTGGTGGAGGTGAAACCCACATCAGCCAAGGACAGGTTGCAGAGGAAGAAGTACGTGGGGGAGTGGAGGTGGGAGTCTGAGCTGACAGCAAGGACAATGAGCAAATTCCCGAGCACCATGACCAGGTACATGGACAGGACCAGCCCAAAGAGGAGGGGCTGCAGCTCTGTCATCTCTGAGAAGCCCATGAGATGGAATTAGGAGACCCATGTGACATTTTGTGTTTCAATGTAACCTGGGAATCTTTGAAAAGAAAATAGCATTAGTATAGGAACAAATGGCTCATGGCCCATGCCTATATTTTCAACTCAACCCATTATGGGTATAGCACATGAGTAACTCTAAGGTTCTTAGAATAAATTGATTTTAAAAATTTGGGGGGACAATACAATTTTGAAATTCTTAATCTTTTGAGGTGTCTTTTACATCTTTTTCAAGACCACCACCTCTGTTTCACACTTGGAGACATACAACCTCTGCCATCGTCCTCCACAGTGACAGACTTAGTCTTCCTGGAGCTCCTTCTGATTGGTTTCTGTGTTCCTCTTCTCCATCTATGCACACCTGCTTTAGACACTCACCTGAGTTGAGCACTGTCTATGATCACAACCAAATGCAATCAAGTCTTCTAACAGAATCGAATAGCAAGTGCATTTTCCCCCTGTAGGACATCATTCTAATTCAAGGAAATGAAGAGCAATCGAATATATCTTATTTTCTTCTCAGGCCATGATAAAAGCTCACTTGACTGAAAATATTTAAAAGTACTCTGTAAAGTTAGGACTGCATTATCTAGACTCTAAATTGCACTTGCTTCATGATTGGAAACTATTGTGTGTCAGGGTTTCAGCATTCTTAGGTTTTCTGGTTTCTCTCCATTGTCTCTTTTGCTCTGAAAGGCTGACACACAAGGAGACTCCCCAGATGCCTGCACTGTGTGTGGCAGACCAATGCAGAGGCTGGGAGCTGGAACTCAACCCAGGTCTCCCACATGGGTAGCAGGGGCCTGACTGCTTGTGCTGTCACCTCTTCCTCTCACAGTCTGCACTGGCAGGAAGCCGAGTCACAGCCCAGAGCCAGGAATCCAACCCAGGTACCCCAGGTGGGAGGAGGACATCTTAATCACTCCTGTTTGTCTCTTTAAAGTCACCAAGTACATCCATCCTCATCACCAGTGGATATCAGACGTTCATAAGTATGCTTTAACTAAATGCAAATGACCATATGAAACCACTGACCATAAATGTTATATTAGTGTATTCTTACCTGTCCAATATTTAGCAATAATGGACTATTTAGAAATACCTGAATTTTTAAAATTTTATTCATGTTTTTATCTATTCCCTTTGCTCTCATGCTCTCATCTACCCTGTATGATCTGCTATGTGAGAGCTGTGTCTTCCTTAAATATTGTTTCCATTTTTCCTCTCTTTTCTATAGAGACCTGGTAAGACTGCTTTATAGTTTTTATGATCATAAGTGCCCTTATTTAAGTTGAGATATTTGGTATCAGGGAAGGGCAAGGCCACTGGAGTCCCAAACTTCCTGTGCATAATTCAAATATTTTCATGTTATACCTTCTTGATTCATTGGTTGCAATTCTCTAATTCTGGCTGCCTCAAGGCAACTTGACTTTATTACATTAGTAGTTCACACTGTGATTGAATCAAGAAAAGAAGTGTAAAACAAAGAATTCCAGAAAAGAATATAAATGCACTTGAGCAGTTTCCTTATCTATAAATGAGGAACAATAATTGTTCATGTTATAAGTCTGTGGGAAAGAAGCTTCTGTAAGTATTTTACTACATTCTTATTCATTTTTCATTTTATTGGAATCCGTGCTGCCTCCAGGATGCACATGAGCAGGAATTGGATCAGAAGTGGAGTGGTCGAGACCTGAACCAGGCACTGTGACACCTGTTGCAAGCTTCCCCACCTGAGGCTTCATTCACTGCAGCAAAATACAAGCTTCTTGTGCCAGTACTGATTTAGGGATCCTTAAATAGTTTTCTTTAAAACTTACCTGTGAAGTGTTTTGGGGCTCATTGGAGTGGTGAGCAGAATGTGAATAACAATAAAGAGATATAAAAAGCAAACAGAGGGGCTGGCATTGTGAAATAACAAGTTAAGCTGCCACCTGCAACACTGGCATCCATATAGGGGCCAGTTCAAGTCCTGGATGCTCCATTCCCCATTCAAGTCCCTTCTAATGTGCCTGGGAAAGCAACAGAAAGTGGCCCTAGTAGTTGGGTTCCTGCCACCCATATGGGACACCTGGATGAGGTTCCTAGATCCTGGTTTAGGCCTGGCCCAATAATGGCCATTGTGGCCATTTGGGGGAGTGAACCAGCAGATGGAAGATTCTCTCTCTCTCTCTCTCTCTCTCTCACTCTCACTCTCACTCTCCTTCTCTCTCTCTTTCTCTCTCTCACTCTCCTATCTCTGTAATTCTGCCTTTCAAATAAATAGATCTTTTTTTAAAGCAAATGGAGAAATAGTGATAAATAACACGGTAGGTATGTGAAGTGTTCAGTATAGTGCTCAGGAGCACTCTATGAGAGAGGAAACATCAGTCAGCTTAAGGACTGAGCCCCTGGAATTACAAAATCAAAGGAACCAAAGGGAACGAATGAAGAGAAGTAGAGAGCACAAGAGGGTCTCACAGGAGACTGTCAGCAGAGCAATATATTCATAATGCAAGTTCCACAATAAAAAGAAAAGGAAATAAGCATCCAGTAGCCAGCCCTGTGTCTATATTTTGGATTAGAGCAATTTACAAGTGAGGTTTCTATTTTTGAGATCCATACATTTCAGCAATATTTCTTAGTGGCAAAAAAATCAACCTTCTTAGCATTGTTTCATTGTTCATTTTCTTTCCTGTATATAGTTAACTTTAGGGACACTCACCTAAAGAGTGTTAGAAGAACAGGAATATGTGTGATAAGTTCATGATTGCAGTAAAATGTTTAAGACAAAATATAAACAGCGTCACTCCACCTTTCATCCTAATCAGAGGAAAATAACTTTCAGCCCTGTTTTATTCAAATACTATGCAAAAAATCCCAAATATAAAATATTGATCATTTCTATTGATTGCTGGGGGTGCAGTATCTGGATTTTATTCAATGCAGGGGCCAGTGCTGAGGCATAGCGTGTAAAGCCAACGCCTGCAGTGCCAGCATCCATATGGGTGCTGGTTTGAGTCCTTGCT